CTTTTTTTTTTTTTTTGTGTACATGACACCTTTCTCACATTGTTTATATTGAACTAAATGTGCTTAGAAACAATCTAAATCTGCAATAGTAAAATGAAAGAAAAAAAAAATAATCAATTATAAGAAGTAATATGAAGAATTGATTAACTCTTGGTATTGACATTGAATTATTATTATTATTATTTTCTTAGCATTCTTTCTTCATTTCTCTCTGCTGCGAAAAGTGACCATTTTTTTTTGAGGGGAATTTTCATTTTTATGTTTTATGGATGTTAACAACCAAAAAAGGAAATAGTGGATATTTATATTTATATTTCTTTCTTATTTGTTTTTTTTTTTTTTTTTCATCACTAGATAAATATATAAAGGGTTAGGATCAACAAGGTGTAAGCAATATCAAGAAAGTAAACTGAAGTAATATATTAGTAGAAAAAGAAAAAGAAAAAGAAAAAAAAAACAATTGCGTATATATATATATATATACAGAAATAATGTTTCGACTCGTTCTCTCTACCAGAAATAATGGAATGGTGAGGTGTGCCTTCCCGGCCCTCACGATGGCTCTCCGTCAGGGTCATCACGCCCAGACCCATCACGACTTCTCCGACTGCTTTACGCGCAAACTCACCCCAGAAGAGGAGGAAATACTTCAAATCCAACAGGATCGACGAAAGGTGTCTGCGGTGGTTCCGGGAAAAATGTTCATGCGGCATTGGATAGCGGCAGAGCAATCTACAGTGTCTGTTGTCAATCGTGTGATGTCCGGCATTATTGCGGTGTTTCTGATGTTGTGGGCCTGTTGCTATGCGACGATGGGATATAACGGCCACAACTGCGCACACGTGGCGGGATGGACGTTTATTGCCTACTGGGTAGTACTGCACACACACTGCATGACACTGATTCCAGTCTTTATCACTATCGCTATGCTGCAACTCCTTTTTAACTAAATAAGAGGTGGGGAGGGATGTGTGTGTGTGTGTGTGTGTGGATGGTTTCTAGAAGGAAAAGAAAGAAAGAAGGAAATAGTATGAGGCTCAGAGTACATTTTTTTTTTTTTATTATTATTTCCTGTCTGTCCTTGTCCTTGTCCTTATTCTTTTATAAAAAAAAAAAAAAGTCTGGGAATGCTTTTTTTGTAGGGGAGGAGAGGAGAGGGGAAAGTAGTGGGGTGTATGCAGAGATATATATATATATATGGAAGACGGACGATGCCAATGGGAAGAGACTCATTTCTTCTTTATTATTATTATTATTATTATTATTATTATTATTATTCTTTGTGGGGGTTTTCTGTCTGTTTTCTCATTCCATTTTTATTTTTCTCTGGAAATGAGGGAATCTCGCCACTAAAGATATGAGGTGAAGAGGTGTATTGGAGTTGGGATCCAAGTAGAAATGTTTTTGTGCGCCGCCTTCATTTTCTCCTAGTCCCTTCAATATTTTAAATTCATATTGAAGGGTTTCTTTTTTTTTTTTTGTTTTTAGTTATTTGTCTTTACTTACTATCATTATTATTATTATCATTATTATTATGTCTCTCTGTCTCAGTATGATTGTGTTTGTGTTTGTGTATGCATTTTACTATTAGGACTTTCAAATGCATTATTTTTGCGTCAATAGAGACAATTGAAGAGGGAGTGTAAGAGAGTATTCTCTTTGTTTCTTATTATTATATATATGTTTTTTTTTTTTTCTTTTATACATTTATTTCATTATATGTGTCATTATGATTCTCTGTTGGTGTAAATGTTATTAATAAACTGTCTCTTGAATTTTTTCTTTTCTTTTCTTTTTTTTTTCTTTTTATTTTTACTTAAACAAGCAAAAGGGTAGGAAACTCTTGAGTGTCATTCTTTCTTACCTTTTGTGTGTGTGTGTCTGCGTGTAGTTTTATCTGCCAATTGTGTGTTGACGGGCAGAGAAGAAAAAAAAGGTACCAGAGACACACACTAGAAGGACTCAAGAATCTTTTTGAATTCTTTCTTTCTATTTAGTAGTTCTTCTCTATATTTGGAATTCCTACAAATCAAAACATCTCTCTTTGCTTGTATATATATATATATATATATTCAGTGGAGAATAGAAAAATATCTCTTCCCGTTTGCGTTTGCAAACTCGCGCGTACACAGTTGGTGTGATTTATTACGTGAGATTTAAACTATTAACGCACGGGAGCAGAGAGTGTGTTGTGGGGATCCCCCGCTTTGTTCTTCGTTAAGTAAAGGAGATCTAAGCGAGTGAAGGAATATATATATATATATATATATACGAAACGATATAATAGAGAAGAAATTACAAAAAGAGAAAGAAAGAGAGAGAATAGAGAATAGAGAAAAAAAAAGAAGAAAAAGAAGAGAATTCTCTTGTTATTAGTAGGTAGAAAATGGAAAAGTTCACAAAGGTCCGAAATATTGGAAAGGGCAACATGGGAGCCTGTGTGCTTGCCCGCAACAACGAGGATGGTAAGTATTATGTGATCAAACAAGTAGACCTTAGCAAGATGAATAGGAAAGAACGGCAGCAGAGTTTAAATGAGGCACACGTATTGAGTTCCTTACGTCATCCTAATATTATTAATTACGTGGATAGTTTTCTCTCACGTAGGTCTGATTATCTATGCATTGTCATGGAATTTGCTGATAGTGGTGATTTAAGTACACGTATAAAGAAATCTTATGGTGTAAACTTTCGGGAATCGCAGGTACTTGATTGGCTTATTCAAATGATACTAAGTCTCTCCTATATTCACCAACGCAAGATCTTACACCGTGATATAAAATCACAGAATGTATTTTTAACAAGTCAGAATATTGTAAAACTTGGTGATTTTGGGATAGCGCGAACACTTAGTGGTACATATGATCAAGCCAAAACATTTGTAGGAACTCCATATTATCTTTCACCTGAACTTATATTAGAACGTCCATATGATCATCGTAGTGATGTATGGGCACTTGGTGTAGTTCTTTATGAACTTCTAACACTTAAACATCCATTCAACGCAAGTAGTATGAAAGGATTAATGCAGCGTATTCTTAAAGTTCAATATGATCCAGTTCCTCAAATCTATACAGCAGAGATGCGAAATATTGTACCTCGTCTCTTAACCAAAGAGCCCTCACAACGGATTAAATTAGAGGAATTAATAGAACTTCCTATTATCCAACGTCGTCTTCGGGAATGGATGTTAGCAGATGTGATGCCGAAAAATTATATTGAAACTCTTCTTCGTCAGGGACTTCTCCCACCGGCGATTGCGGCTTTGCGGAAGTTTGATGGACCGACCCCAGTGGAGATTCCACAACCACAACTGCCAGCATTAGGATTAGCGAAGGAAACAACACTAACACCAATACCAACAACAACAACACCCATCACTACTACTACTACTACTACTACAGCGACAACAACAACAACAACAACAACGGCAACGACCAACAATAATAATAATAATAATAATAATAATAATAATAATAACAATATTATTATGACTGCACAGCCGCATGGGAATCTTTCCGTAGAGAGAAAACCGTTACTTCCACCAACAAACCAAATAGCCCCAATGATGATACAACCATCATCCTCACTATCACAACTCCAACTTCCATTCCAACAATATCAATCCCAATATCAATCACACGCCCAAGCCCATCCACATCCACAACAACATTATCCCTATCAGGCCCCACTGAAGCGAACGTCAAAAGAGACACATCACGTACCGCTGCTGCGGCCCTATCGCCGTGGACAGCCGTCGTATCTCATGTACAAAAACATCAACGGCGGCTACAACTCCCCCGCAACGCCAACTTCACTGCAGCAGCGCCGCTCGCGTCTCTCCACCTCCACGTCTCTGCAGGCGATCCCAACAGCGCGCGTCCCATCACGACAGCCGGCCGTCACGGACGCCACACCGCCGCACATTGACGCCACGGCCGCGGGAGTTCCCGCAAGTAGTTCCATCGCACACCGCAGTTTTCCAAACACACACGCCATCGCAGGCATTTCGCTGCCAACACGTGAGGAAGACACACGAACGGAGGCGAGTCATCATATGAATGAACACCGTGTGCGGAAGCGTAGTCAGATGGACTCGGAGTCTGTGGCCTCATGTCTCAATCCATTCTTTCACAGACCGTCGAATAATCCACCGGCGCCGCTGCCGTATTTGGCCGGGGCACAAAATATGGATATAAAGGCAATGCTGCAACGGGCTGCGTTGGAACGGGCACAGCGACGGGCAATACCGTGAGTCTACAGAAAAACCGAAAGAAAGAAGGATAGAGAGAGAGATATAGTTAGATAGATAGATACAGATCTGTTCTATGAGAGATACAATGAACCCAAATGGAATATCATATAGAAGGGGTCGGATTTCTTTTTAGACACCGTTAGTTCTTTATTAGTTCGTCTGCATCTTCGTCCCTCTCTCTCTCTCTCTCTCGCTGTACGTGTTGTTGTTGTTGTTGTTGTTCTATTTGTTGCCGCAGTTGAGAGAGATGTTCACAGCTTTAAGTAAGTAGTAATTCGTTCTCTTTCTCTCTTTGGCAATTTCGTGGTATTTGGTATTGTTTTCACTCGTGTGTTTGTGTTGGTTGCTACGATGTATATGTATATATATGTATATATATATATATATATATATATATATAAACAATATCTTTTCTTTCTGCTGGGATTGCTGTTTTTTTTCTTTTTATTTGTGGAATGAGACAATGCTGAGGAGCAAAGGTTGCGAAGGTGTAAAGGACATGTTTGAAGTGTGGAAGTTTTTTTTTTTTTCTTGCTGTTAGAGCCTCAAAAAAAAAAAAAAAAAATATGCTGGCACATACGCCTGTATATACATAAATATATATAATTATGTATATATATATATATATATTGTAATACATTTGTATACAAAACACTCTTGTCAGCAATGATCACAGCATATTATACTATCTGTTGTCAGAGGTTTTTTCTTTTTTGTTCTTTTTGTGTGTCTCCTTCATTCTAACTGATTCGGACACCAAAGATATAAATAAAAGTATGTGTAATTTGTACTTTCATTTTTTTTCTTTGCTTCTTTTTTTTTTTTTTTATCTTTTCTTAATAAACAACAACAACATTGTATATATATATATATATATATATATATATATATATATATTTATGTTAGTCTTTTTTTTTCTTTTTGTTGAGGGTGGGGAGAGGAGGTTGTTGATGATGACATGGGTTTTCTCATTTTTTCCTACACTATTGTTAGTGTTGTGGTAATTAAACTATGAATGTGTGATTGCAGATGTGTCTCTTCATACGGCTCTAACGGGAAGAAGAAGAATAAGGAAGAAAAAAGAAGCAGATGAGTGGAATATAGATAAATTGAGAGAGAGAGAGACAGAGAGTAAAAGGGAAAACCAAACAACAAAAATAAAAAAAAAAAAGAAAAAAAGGGATGTGAAGTGGAACTTTTGAACTGTACTATGGTTTTTTGTTTTGTTTTTGTTTTGTTTTGTGTGTGTTGTATTTTTATATTCTAATAAAATTAATTGAGGGAGACCTAGGAAGCAAATAAAAAAAAAAAAAAAAAAAAAAAAAAAAAAAAAAAAAAAAAAAAGGATGCTCTTTGGTCTTCTTTCTGTGTGCTGTTTCTTTTTTTTTTCTTTATATTAAAATATTTTTGCATAGTGTGTTTATATATATATATAAATATATGTTTACGTATATATGTATACGGTGAGTGTTCACCGTCTTGGTGGAAGGGTAATAAATTTGGGTTGTGTGAAGTTGCAAATCTCTTCAGGCAGTAATTCCCTATTTGTGGCCCTCATGCTGTTTTTTTTTTTTTTTTTTCTTCTCTGAAGGTGCATCTCCTGATTTGCACCGGTGTTTTTATTGAATAAAGAGTAAGAAAAAGAATAAAAAACTTAGGGTTGCTGCGATTATAAAAAATGGTCACAGTTAAAATAACAATATTATTATTGTTTCTTTAAAAAAAAAAAAATAGAACTTCTTCATGCATGTTTTTAACTTTATATTTATGTTTTCTTTATTATATTCCCATGCCTCTCAAATTTTTTGTTCTGTTTATCTGCTCACTTTTTTTTTTCTCGCCAGATATATATATATATATATATATATATATATATATCCGTTTGTTTGACCTTTTGTTATTAGCATTCTTTTTTGAAGTTTCTTTACCTACTTTTCTATGATGTTATCTTTGTTGACGGTTATCCATCATTTATACCTATGATCATTTATTCTATTCTTCTTCCTTCCCTTCCCCCCCGTATCCCCTCTTTACTGTTCAGTTATGCATATCAGCTTTACTCATTGGAGAATATTCTCTCTCTCTCTCTCTGTGGGAAGACTCCCTTGAAAAAAGTATCCTTTTCTCTCCAAGTCAATACAGTTTTGACCCCTACATCTGTATTTTTAATTACCTTCTTTTTTCTTTTTTTATTTCTTTCTTCTTGTTCTTCTGCTTGCTGTGTGAAGAGGGAAATATAAGTAAGGAAAGACAAAGAGAGGAAGAAACAAACAAAAAAAAAAACAATACAAGAAAAAAAAAAGAAGAAAAAAACAGAAAGTGAGTGTGTGTGTGTTGGTGACCGCAATGGAAGAGGAATGGAGTGATGATGGGGCGATGTCTAATCTTCTCATTGTGGAAGAGCCGAGTGCCTGTCATCTCCCATGCTCTGTACGCTTCCGTGCCTTCTCCGACCCCACCTCCACCCCAAACGACGAGAATAGTAACAAGAATAAAAATAGTAGCAACCATAATTACAACCATATTATCAATAATAATAATAATAATAATAATAATAATAATAATAATAATAATCACATCAATGTTAGTAGTACAACTGGTGGTAGTGCGGCGTTGCCGAATAGTTATTGTCTGCAGAAACGCCGCCGTTTGGATGATGCGTTGGGATGTGAACACCCCGCCGTTGTCCGGCCGCTCTTGCGGGTATTGCGGCACCCCATTGATATTGCCCGCCGCCGACAGGAGACCCTCCGCTGGTTGGAGAAGCCGCGATCTGCAGAAGACATTCAAGCACGACTCGCACTCGACAGGCGACTGGGCGTGACGCCAAGTCTTGCCACTGTGCACGGCGCCCTCGCCCGACTGAAGGAATTACACCGCACAGAAATGATTGCAGACATGGCGGAGGATCTCGTGATGGATTCCCCTGCGCTTTCTATTTGGACACTTCTTAAAATAGTGGAGGGACTGAAGGGACATCCACAGCGGGCCGCCCGTGTGGTGTTTTCACTGGCCCCATTAGTGACGAATGGTACTGTTCCCACGAGTGTGTGGTCGTCTCTCTGCTGTGAATTGGATAAAGTCGCTCGTCAGATGCCAGCGCCATTGGATCGTTCTTTGGTGGAGTTGTTTGGACAAGTATTATACCGTGTACGGGATGATGGTCCAATGAGTGGATCTCTTGTTGTTTATTACGGACAGGCTTTGCTGAAGAGTCAGGCACCCATTCGCAGTATTGTGGGATTTGTACAGACAGAACTTTTAAGTGGTCGTAATACACCACCGAATGATACGGCATCGGAATTGAGACTTGGGGCTTTTCTTAGTGAGTTAATTCAAGTAATGTGTGCTCGCGCAGATGAAGAGAGTAGTGGACGCGAGAATGGTCCTCCATTCACGGTGAGAGAACGACTATTGTATTGTGGAGATTTTGTTAAACACGCCTATGCCGCACAACTTCGGCTTACACAAGCCGCATTTGATGCCTTTTTACGGTTCTGTGATGAGGAAGGAGATTACCATAGACTTTGTATTGTCTTTCTCGCCATGTGTGCGTTATCTACACCCACTTTAATATCCGCCACACGAGTTGCAGAGATGTTGTGTGATGTGGAAGAAATGTCGCATTATCTTTCAACGTTGTTGCGTCAATCCTCCGCTATGTTAATGTTGTATGTAATCCAACGTCATGGGGAGGCTAGTTTGTTCCCAATCAACTTGAATACAAATGTTAATCATCATCATCATCATCACAATCAAAATCATCATCATAATAATCATAATAAGAACAGTATTAAAGAAAAATTAGAATTGCACTTTTGTGAATGTGTTGCACGATTATCTGCAAGAGATGGAGATGCATCTCTTTGCATGAATATTTTCACAGCCATTATGGATCAAGGTAGACATTCAGGGGCTCACGCTTTTATATGTACATTGTTATCAGTACTGCAGGCTTCACCACGTCTTTCAGATACCCGTATTGCATCTAGTTATGCCGTCCTATTTGAACCTTTTAACTTGGAAGCTTTATATTATGCTTTACATCCATCGAATGTATTATTAGATGTTTTTTCTAATATGATGCAGTCACGACCTTTAGCCTCACTTTTTCATTTACGTGATGATGTTGTGAATGATAAAGTAAATCGTCCTTCTGGTAGTGGTGTTGGATCCACTGCGGTCACGGTGGAAAGTGTCTTGACCACACTCTTCGCATCTCCGCAGGTGTACGGTACTGTTCTTGATGAGAGTGCTGTTGGGGCTTTAGCGAATAGTGCCCCGCTGGCCGCAGCCTTTGTGAAGATGATGAGTAATTACGCAGCGAAAACAGGAGCCGTGGCGCTTGTTCCTTTTGATGTTTGTACTTCTAAAGAACTCACACACACCGCACGGCAATTACTTATAGAATGGTTAACACAATATAACTGGCTTGTGGTGTTGCCCCTTTCTCTCGCCATTCAGTTGATAGCAGGTAATAATGCTTCTCTCAGTTCTACAAATCCACATCAAGAAAAAGAAAAACAACAAAATAAACAGAAGCAACGACAGCAATTATCATGCATACAATTATTTCATGAAATTCGACGTTTAGGTCATAAAAAAGTTGCCTTAATGACAGATTCACAAAATGTCGTTGAACTAGCGAAGGGAGAAGGCGTACACCCTGTCATCACACTTACGGAGCTTAGAACACGTCTAGGTGTTTGTTAGCAGTAATATTCCTTTTATGAAATTAAAATGAAGGAAATGTCTGCCATGAATTTTCTTATACACATATATATGTCTGTGTACACACCCCTCCCTTTCTATCTCTCTATCTATCAAACGAAAAAAAAAAAAAAAAACAAGTTTAAAAAAACAAACAAACAATGGAAGTGTGTTTTTTATGGTGTAAATTATTTGAGAAATATATTAATACTCTCTTTTATTCAAGTTTACATTATTTATTTTTTCTTTTCGTGTGTACTTCATGGTTGTTTATTATTATTATTATTGTAATTCCACGTTGATGTTATGTTCTGTTTTTTCCCTTCTTTTCTTTTCTTTTTTCTTTTCTTTTGGTGATAAGAAAATTGTAGAATCATACTTGCAATGATGGCACTACCAACGGAAGGAACCAAGGAAAAACCACCACTGCATGTGTATCCAGAAGCGAAGATTGGGACTCGGTTTTACTCCCATCTTGGTATTCAGTCTACGCGGTACAATGGCGTGTGTGCCCTTACTGGTTCTATGGTTTTAATGGCTTCCGGAAGATTTATTATGTTTGTGGATGTAAGTACAGGCAAAATAGAATCCATGCCTGGACCTATAGATGGTGGAGTTGGTGCTATTGCAGTTCACCCATCACGAAAATATTTTGTGGTTTGTGAGAAGAGACCACAAAATCCCCTTATTCGAGCATACAGTTGGCCATCACGAGTTGAAATGGGAGAGTTTGTTGGTGGAGCGACAAAAGGATTTAGTGCCTGCTGCTTTAACGCTGATGGAACAATGATGGCAACTGTTGGAATGTACCCGGACTTCTCACTTGCGGTGTGGGATTGGAAAACGCGTGGGATGATTCTTCGCAATAAGTGTCACAGTGCAGATGTTTATTCCGTCGCATTCAGTCAATTTGATAGTGGCGTTCTCGTCACTGGTGGAGCGGGACACATTAAGTTTTGGTCAATGGCAAAAACGTTTACAGGATTAAAACTTCAAGGACTTCTCGGTAAGTTTGGACGACTAGATATCAGTAATGTACCCGGTTTTGCTGTATTGCCCGATGGTAAAGTACTTTCGGGAACAGAAGATGGTCTTATTCTAATTTGGGAAGGAGATCTTGTGCGCTGCTGTTTCGCAAGTGATGTTGTGAAGGAAATAGAAGGAGATGAAGAGGAAGCCGCTGGATTGGCTTTACAAAGTTATGCTTATATCCCTTGTCATGCAGGCCCTATAAACGTTGTACAACTTTTGGGAAATGGAAGTGTATTACTGACAGCCGGAGATGATGGATGTATGCGTTACTGGCGTGTTAGTGAATTAGAAAGAGCTGAGGGAGAAGGTATACCACCATTGTATGCTCCTGTTTGTTTGTGTGAAGTACTTGTGGATGAAAATGCACGTATTCGTGCCGTTACCCATTCTCGCGATACAAATGAATGGGTTGTATTAGATAGCACAGGAAGTTTATGGCATTTACCATTCTTACATCCAGATGAAATACTTTCAGGTTTACCAAAACAAATGAATGAACCTGCAGTGGCAGCTTTACGTTTTAATGGTGGAGCTATCACGAGTGCGGCCTTATCTCCATGTGATCATACTATTGTGACTGGAGGTGAGGATGGTTCTATTCGTCTCATTGATTACGTGACACCACGTGAGGTGTATTGTTTACAACCACCAGATCCCAACACTGTGGTGGGTCTCCGTTTCTTTCAAAGTGATAAGACGGGAATGAAATTTGTGGCTTGTTGTGATGATGGTACTGTACGATTACTACAGCGGGGAAAATCAGGATTCGCATTGCTTGGTCAATGGCGTCCACATAATGCAGGTCTTAAAACGTTTGCAGTGGATAAAGAAGAACGTCGTCTCTGTACTCTTTCAGAATCCGGTGCCTTATTCTTTTTTAACATTGAACCAGAATTAAATTCACTCATTCCTATCGGTTATTGTCAACTTCCAGTACCGAATCCTCTTTGTGTAGCCTGGGATGATGCGACATCAACTTGTTTGGTGGGTCATGAATCTGGTAAAATTCTTGCTGTACGTGCAGCCACTATGAAAGATGTAGATCAAAGTATTTCTTTTGAGTTTCCATGCACTTACGCTCTTGTTGGTATTCGACAACGTAAAGTGGCAGAGAAAAGGCCTATAAACCTTGTTCCTGGAGAAAGAGAAGAAGATGTCATGGAAGAGGAAGAAGAAGAAGACCTTGGACCTTGGCCTGTGCGAGTTATTTGTCCATTACCAGATGGTTCTTTTGCTATTGGAGCAGGTGGTGTGGAGCTTTTATATGAATATAATACAAATATTCGTTATGATGGTCTAACAGAACTTCCACCACTCCCTCCTACAGGCATTGAACCACCGGATTATGTAGAGGAACCAATAATAAATTTATGCTACCGTGATCTTATCCCATTAGATGCCTCTCTTAGTGTTTCTAAGCATTCTTTGGTCGTTATATGTGAAGGAGCCCAAATGTTTATTCGAACTCTTGATGACTCCTATCAATGGAAACAAAATTGTATTTTGGTGAGTTCTGCACATGATCGATTGGATGGTCATATTGCTGCTGCTTGTACTTCCTTTGATGATACTATGTTGGTTTCTGCAGGTTCAGATGGTCTTGTTGTGGCACAATTACTAGATGGTTGTAATGCACCCGCACGACCACAAATTGATTCTATGTATCCATCTCTACATGCAGAGGAAGTTGTGGTACCAGAACCTATTCCACTATCTATTAGTGAACAAAAAGAGGAAGATGATCGTCGTCGTGCAGAAGAAGCAAAACAATGTGAACTTGAAGCCTTTCTTGATAAGTTGCATGTTGTACATGCAAAATATGCGGAGTTACTTAAAGAGAATAGTGAAATTCCAAAAGATTTGCAACTTTCAGAAAATGAAATGATTCTACATCCACAGATCATAAAAGATTTAGAAGAGGAAAAGGCAAAACGTGTTCGTGACTCTCGTATGGATACAGCTCTTGAACTGGCACGAGAAGATGTACGAACAACTAAAATGCGTAAACGATTTATTGATAATCTAATTTATGATAGATTTCTTGTTTATAGCTTTTCTCAAGAGTTTGCAGTAGCATCATTTCGAACTCCAGATCCTACTGAAGCGATTGAACGTTTTGAAGCGAAGATAACAGAACTTTTAGAGTCAGATAAAGATGATGGAGTAGGACTTGAAAATTCATTCGCTAATAACGATAACAAAAGCAAACATGTTGAGGTAAATGAAGATTCTTTGTGTAATCTAGCGTTATCTACAGCTGCCGCTATAACAGAATGGTTACTTCTTGAAGAACAGAAACAACAACAAGAACGTCAAAAACACAACAGAGGAGATGGAGAAGTATTAACATCAACTATGCGTCAACATCTTGATAAATTGGATGATCGTCGTGAAGAACGTCGTCGTAGAAAGAAGGGACATGAAATTCTTCTTTCACATAAACCTGATCCTGAGAAAGAGTCAGAACGATTAGATGAAGAATTGAAATTTGAGATTGCTCGACGTGGTGACTTTGTACTTCGTACAGATCCTTTATATCACTTGGTTCCATCTGCAGTGGCGAAATTGCGTCAATTAATTAAACTTGAGAGAGTTTTAGTAGATTTGCGTAGCTCTTTTACAAAAAAACTTTTATTGATGAGGGATGAAAAGGCAAAACTTTGTGCATCTCTTAATATCTTTTTGGCTCGTATACGTGCTATTAATGAAAAATTAAAAGATGATACTATTCCAGCTGCTGATATTACATTACAAGATATTGAGTTACCAGAGAAACGTTTCACTGTTGACCGTGACGGTCTTGATGCATTTGCGAAGCAAAGACAATTAGAGAAGGAACGTGAAGAAATGGCGAAAAAGGCTCAACGTGGTTTTGGTGCTGATCTTGCCGCCGGTGATACTACCAGTGTTACTACTGCTCAAACCAATGTTAATAGTGGAGTAAGTGGAGCCTCCCCCAATCCTGCAGGCAGAGCTTCATTGCATAGTGAAATAATAGATAATGATAGTGCCAGTACGAAACGCACTAGTACTCGAATATCAGTTGGTGAAGGTCGTCCTAGTACGTCTCGTCGCTCAAAAAATCTTCGATTCTCATCAGCAGCACCAAAGGCTTCACGTTCGCAGAGTACAGCTTTCCTCGCAGCAGCTGCTGTCCGTGAACGGATGGATTACGATTTACGTGTGAAACTTGAGAATGTAAAACCAACAGAAGCAGAGGAGGAAGAACAGAATATGGAGAGAGAATTGTTGATTGCGGAACGACGTCAATTATTATGCCGTGTGAATGCTATAATGAAAGAGTTTGATGAACGTTTATGGGAGATGTATGAAGAACGTGCGAAGGTAGATGCAGATTTATGTTTGGCACACACTCGCTCTCTATTACTATTTCATGAATACCAAATTCTATTAGTGTTTAGACAAAAAGATCGTGAACTACAGAGGCAGTATGAAGAAGCTAAATGCTCTCGTAACAAAAGGAAAAAGGAAATGGAAGAGTTACAGAAAGGAGTACAACAACAAATAAAAGAGATTGAAAAACTACAAGATACTAGTAAAGCTTTTCGCCATGAGGTGGAATACTTTATTGAGTCAAATTTTCCTCCAGAGCATATACCTTATATTACAAAAGTTTTCCTTCGACAGATTAAACGACGAAAACATCTTGGTGATATTTCTGCAGATGATGATGATATCACAAGTGATGATGATGATGAAGAAATAAATGAGGATGACTTGTGGGAGGAGGTATGTCCACCTCATTGTTCAGAAGAACGTTGGCGTGAAGTCTTAGCTAAGCGAGAGATACGACTGGACTACGCCGATTCCATTGCTGAGGCACGACGAAAACAAGAACAAATGCAGCGAAGCATAGATGAACATGTGGTATTGGCAGAACAACATGATGCTGTTCTTACTTCGTGCCTTAAAGCGATTGAAGACTTTCAAAATGAGAAACGAAAACAACTTAACATGTTAGGGACGCTCGTTATGCTTCGTTGTAGCCAAGTAAAGTGCCTTGGAGAAGATGAAAAATGCCCTGAAACGTTTTGTCGCGATGATCTTGTGGTTGTGTCAGATAATGTTGTGTCTGGTTTACATCGCCGCATTGAAACCATGGCTGAGGAGAAGCGTGAGCGTCGTTTAACTCTAAAGAACATGGCGAGTGATCTTCAACGATTGCAGCGCGAGCGTGCGGCGAAGGAGGCACTCCACGCGCAGTGGGAAGAAAAGATATATGAGGCGATGCTGCTGAAGTTTGGCCAAGTGGTGAATCTCGAGCTGCTGGAGTCCACGAGTGGCTGCCGGGCGGTGGAGGAGATGAAAGAACGGCTGCGCGCGGAGGAACTCGCGTGGGAACGGGCCCTCCGCAGCCGCGAACGCACCATCGCCCGCCTGCGGGAGCGGCTGCAGGACTCGCTGCTCCGCAACACACATCTCCTCCACGATCTCGGCGACCAGGCAAGCGACAAACACGCCGTCGACGGCGCCCTCGTGCGGGCCACGCAGAATGTTGTGGGGAGAATGTACGACGGCGCGCAGGTCGCCACGGAGGAGGACCGCAGAAATCTCAGACTACTCATCGCCGCACAGCAGGAGGAGATTGACGCACTGATGGCGGAGATCTCAATGCTCCGTAGCAAGGGTGGACACGTCTACGCACCAACGACAACCATTTCCATATGAGAAGAAGAAACGCCAAGACAATTAAAGTAAACATTAAACACAACAAATATATATATATATATATATATGGTTTTTCTATTTGTCTGTCTTTGTGTTTATGTGTGTCTTGATTTTGAAGTTGTATCTCTTGTTCTTGTTGACTTTTGTTTTTCTTCCTATTATTACTGTTATGGAACTTTTTATAGCTTTTCTTTTTGTTGTTATTATTATTATTATTATTATTATTATTATTATTACTTCAGCTGGCGTATGCCAGTAATGTATCTGTATACACACTTTCGCTCGGGGGTTTCCCAATTCATTGATGTACACAGTTTTTTATTTTGTTTTGCACTTGTGAAGTGAATGGGTGCATTTAGACACACAGGCATACATACAGAGAGAGAGAGAGAGAAAGAGAGAAAGAGAGAATCATAGGTAACAGCAGCCCTCCCTTCTTTTCTTCCCTCCTAGAAAATAAAAAAAAAAAAAAATGAAAGATTGAAGTGAGGTTGAAGACGGAGGTCACTCTCTGGTTCTCTCTTCCTATATTATTTTCTCTCTCTGTGTGTATGTATGTCTCTCTTGCACTTTGCTACCTAAAGAAACGGTTGGCTTTATGTAGTATGTATGTGCGTTGATATACGTACATGAATGCATGATTTGGCTGTATTTGTATGTATTTTATTTTTGTTTTCATACGTTAATAACTATCACTTGTCTATCGTTGTTTTTTTTTTTTTTTCTGCTTAATGCGTTCTGCTTCTTTTCTCTCTCTCTCTCTCTCTTTTTTTTTTCTGTTCTTTTTCTTTATATACTATAATTTATACTATGAAGAGCAGCCGCTTTTTTGTTACGAGAAAATTTCAAATCCTTGGGAGGAAATAAAAGTACCAGGTCTACGAAAGAGAATAGAAAGGGGAAAAAAAAATAAGAGTTACACACAGGGGGTCTTACAGAAGCAGTAAAAAGGAAAGGTAAAAGGAGATCCCAAATCCCTTTTTTTATCTTCCTGTGCGTATTCGTCTATAAAAACAGCTAGAGTGACGTAATCATTATTATCATCGTCCTCGGCCAAAAAAAAAAAATCAAAGAAAAGAAAAGGGAACTGAAAGTAATTTTAAGGGAAAGAAAGATACTGAGAGTGTAGGAAAAAAAAAGAAAAAAAAGGGATAAACAAAACAAAAAAAAAAAGAAAAATGTCTCTTTTCGGACCACCACTTCCACACGAGGATGACACCGCGACATCACTCATTCGCCGTGAGGGATACCCACCAATCGGTTCCTATGATCAAATGCCACAGGTGTACGAATGTCCCTGTTGCAGTGCCATAAGCCCCACACAAGAACGTGATCATCTTCTTCGTACAGCAAAAGAAGAGAAGGAACTTGAACGCCGCCGGCTAATGCAATTGGATATCTTTGAAGAGCGTGCAAAGCCTATTAGCAGTGGCATTTCCAAACCACGCACCATGGATATCCACCGCGAACCTGAAGATGGTTTACTTGATCAACCGTCAGTGCCACCTCCGCCGAAGACTCTTGATGAACTACGAAAGATGCAGCGTGAGGCGAACAGAACAAGGCTTATTGTTACTGTACACCAAGGTAAGGGTATCAATGTTGACCCACGTGACCCTGTTTCTGTAATTGTGCGTTGCGGTGCATTTGAGGGACAAACAGCGAAGGTGCCTCGTGGTAAAGGTGCGACATGCACATGGGAGGAACTCTTTGAATTCCCATACCCTAATGATGAAGAACCACTGGAGGTTCTCGTTATTGATGACGCCCTTCCAACTTCACAAGATCACGTTTTTGGTGGTATTGTGGTGCCACCATATGCTCTGCGTAATCGTACCCATGGTGATGAAGAAATGCTCCCAGTATGTCCGGAGGGTGAGATGCACTGCAGCTATGGCCGCATGAAGGAGACACCAATGGGTGCTGTGATCGTTTCTTGGTATGTGAAACAAGATGGACAAGAAGTGGATGAAGACGTTGAAGGAAAGAAGAATCTTGAGGGTCCTGTTGATTGCGTCTTTGTTGTGCATCGCATATTTCAGTACACTGACAATGGTACAGTTCCATTTAATGGTGGTGTCCTTTGCGTTTTGCGTGATAGCGAAGATAACTGCTCTGAATCTGCACTTTACGTTCCAAGTGGTTCAGGAGCCATGTCTACTTCGCCGTACTACACCAAGGAGGGATATAACTACCTACCTGATTCTCCTGCACAGATGATGCAGCTTATTACTATAAAAAAACTTGGTCATATCCTCGTGTGCGTCCCAAAGAATGAAGAAGTAAGCGAGGAAGACGAGGAATTGGTTGTTGTTGGTGCTGTACCTCTTGATTTTGAAAAATTATACCACAAAGGGTCTGCTGTATTGCTTGTGGAATCTAAGGTAAAGGAAGACGTTTTGTGGGGTGAAATTACACTTGAATGGCAACTTACTCCCCATGCGGAAGTGCAGAAGTTCCTGGAGGAATCACGACAAGCTGCTATTGCTGCTGCTGATCTTGAGGCAGTTAAACGTGCCGCTGGGGAAAGGACAGGTCCAAGTGAATCGCTTTTCGTTACAGTTGTTCACGGCCTTTACCTGAGGCACCGCGATGGAGAACCGCTAAGAGAAGCACAGGCTTGTGTCTTTGCTGGAGACATGGAAGGCTTGACATATGTTGCCCCTAACGTGCTTGATGAAGAGACTGGTGACCATATTGTTACATGGAATCAAGAAGTACGTTTCATCGAAATAGATGGTGGACAGTCCGTCATTGATGTACATGTTCTGCACGAAAAGCAAACCATAAGCAGTGGTCGTTTTGAACTGGTTGAGGATAATGGTCACGTTGTTGTGAAGGTGTACGATCCATATGATGAGACTTGCGAACAGGGTGAAATAGTCATTTCATACACCCGTGTACGTTCCACTGAAGATGTGGCTCCCGATAACAATGGTGATGATGACGGAGACTGTAGCCACAGTGGCGAACACAAGGACGAAGACGACCAGGAGAATGGTCACGGTAATGGATATACTAATGGAGACAGGGATATGTTGGAAAGTGATAATGGTGATCATCCTGGTCAGAGGCATGCATCGGAAGAACAATATGGTGATGAACTTTCATCTGATAAGCACGCAACAGAGGAGCAGCAACGCTCTGGTGATGATGAATCATTCAAGGGACGTGGTTCTGATGGTGTTGCCCGTGGAAAAGATGGATCAGAGGAGAAGTATGGTGATGAACTTTCATCTGATAAGCACGCAACAGAGGAGCAGCAACGCTCTGGTGATGATGAATCATTCAAGGGACGTGGTTCTGATGGTGT